GTTATGAATGAAACACTGAAGAGCATCACGACAGGGAGCTTAACACACACACTGGGCTGAGCTGAAGTTCTGACTTCAGGTGAACATCTGCTGCTTCTCTAACAAAGACAGTGTCCTTAAAAAAGACTGCTCAGGACACTTGAGCACCTTTTTGTCCAAACTTCTAAAATGAATTCATGAAGACCCAACCGAGACCATGTATCCTAAGATTTTTATGTACATCTGTCAAATTACATCATCATTTGATCAAAACACCAGTCAATACTGAAGCAGGAACAAACCATTAGGAACTATATTATGTGACAATACAATGAATACGATATTTCTTTTGCAAAAGCAAATTAGCTAAATATTATATAACAATTCATTAAAATTGGGCTACACTGTTCTCTTGGTATGAGTGAGGAGTTTAAAGTTTACAGTTAGTATGGACCAGCCCCAAGACCTTGACTGCACAAACTACTCAAACTTTACAGTGCACCACTGTGCTGTCTGTGGTTACACCTCCTTAGCCTTGTTTGTAATCATGGTTCTTAAACTACATTTTATGAGACTATATTAATTTGAGTAGTTCCTTTCAGTTTCACTTGTGTGACATCCATATTGAATGTGTTATCAAGTAGGAAACCTTCACCTTCATCCACTCTGCTATGTCATCAAAGTTATCCAAATGGAGAAAGGAGTTCTTCAGTCTGGCAATGGGCCCGTCAGCGTCCAGCAGGCGACACACATGAAATTTGTCACAGTACCCTCTGTTCCCAGAGCAGGGAGCCCCGCCTACCAGGGGCAATGCTTTTCTCTGGAAGTAATGTGACAGCACAGAGGAGGTGGTGCTGGCACATGTCTCAGGCTTATCTGTCATAGACACAAAGAATCTGGTCAGAAGGCATATCATAGCCAACTGATTAAAGGCAGCAAAAACTACAGCACTTGTTTCTGAAACAAATCGCACTTCTGGTTTAAAGTTTCCACATGCATATACTGTATCTTGCATTGTGTGATAGTCAAAGCTCATAACACTTTATGTTATTCCTTGCACATGGCCATCACATATCTTGTAGTGCTTATGTGTGCTTAATGGAGAGCAGTAATGCATGAGGATGCCCTCAGTAAAAACTGACACTGGTTGATTTGTTCGGACACAAGCATATTCCTCGGTAGTAGAGGACATATGGGCCTGTGGTTACCGGGCTGCTGGCAGCACATGTGGCACTTCTCCTTCAAGGAGTCTCCTGGACAGTCACATTGCTCCAGGTGGTGCTTCAAACACACAGATTCAGCACAGACCTGCAGAGAAAACCAAAGACACAGATTAGAGTTGATGAAGGGTTAGAAGAAAGGAAGCGATGAGAATAGATGGGAAAGGCTGAGGAACACAGTGTCGTCACTGATGTGTGTGGTTACAGGCTTAAAACTTTGGATCCGAGGTGACAATGAAACACTGCTGTTTAGCCTGGTGTTAGTATTTAAGATGCTAATCAGACAAAAATGTCCTTTCCTCATGTTTCTAAAACTATCTGTTTATTTTGCATTTCACTGGTATATTACACACATTATTTGGTACAGATAGAAGAAATTTTTGTTTTGCATAACTACAGTTGAACAAAATCTTTGGAGTATGTTTTCCTGTTTTCTGTTCATTTGATTCTAAGAAAGATTCAAGTGTTCAGTGAAGGTAACAATGTGAGTGTGAGTCCGCTGAGACACGTCGTCATGTCGTGGATTCAGTTCTTACTTTCCTACATCCCCTCCAAAAGCCTTCTCCGGTTATTATTTTCCATGTTCCTGTATGAGGTCATCGGAGGTTAGCAACCTATCACCTCTGGAGAGTCATAATGTATATTATATCTGGAACAAATGATGAAGCAACATTCACAGCTGTTCCAGCTCAAATGACTGTATTCCATCTGTATTTAACAATAGAACCTTTATGGAGTGATATGGAATGGTTTAAAGCACAAAGAGATACAGTAAAGCAAGAAGACACCTCCAGATATTTACCGTAAGTATTAAAGTGCCACACTGGTGTGGTTGCATGTTTTAGCTGCTTACAGAGTAACACCAGGCTAAAAACCATGCTTTCTTTCCCCTTTTTGGTTGAAAGTTTTATCATACCCAGCATTAAAGTCTGCTCTGTTGTACCACAGTCACCAGTGATGTCACACTGTACTGACACACCCTAGAGTACAGGTCTATATCCTGCAGTGTGTTTGAAATTAAACCTCTAGAGATCAACAAAAACAAGATTTTCAGCAGGTGTTAAGTTGCTCCTGGGTAACTTATAGAAGTTAGCCCTTAAATGTTTTTTCCTATCCAGTTATTTAAATCCAGAAATCAGTGGAAAATAATAGCTGCAGAGAACTATAAGATCATGTGACATGATTGAAAGCTCTGGAACAGTCACTGAGGGGATGTTACTGCAGACCATTTGGTCATCTGCTGAAGTTTTTCCCCTCCAGACTAGCTTTGCAACATTGCTGCACACTTGTACACTTTGCCTTGTTGTTGAGCAATGGAACTGAACTGTGTTGAGTCACAGTGCAGTATGGCAGATGTGCCTGCCTCACCCCGTTCATGCAGACTCGCGTGCCCTGACTGCAGACAGTGAGGTTTTCCTTGGCATTTGGCTCAGGGCAGAGCGGAGAGATGCCAGAGCACCCACTCTTTCTGTGACAGTCCGTCTCCTCATCGCACGTCTGACCCTCTGGCTTAAACTTGCAGCCATGACCACAGCACAGGCCCTGACTTGGACTGATGAACGGATGAGTGAAATGACATCACACATGTTAGAGTGACAGATACATAGGAAAAGCATGCAAATAAACAAGACAGAGACACACCTAGAAGATGGGGCATCAGTAAGTTTAAATAAAAGGTTGACCACAAAATGGTGTGCAGCTTCAATTAAAACCAGTGAAAGACAGGAGTTGCTTTTAAGTCTGCAGACTCCATTTGATGCTAGGTGTATGTCCGTGCAGACAGTACCTGCAGACTTTACCAGGCTTGAGGCGACACTGGACTCCTACAGGCTCTTTAGCGCTGTAGCAGCAGAGGTCTTTGTCGTCGTGACCGACATCACACTCCTCATCTTCTTCTACCATCCGGTTTCCACAGATGGGCTGATCACTTACTGGCCAAAAGAGAGCAGACAAATGCACACAAGTAAATACACACACATGCCCTAAAAGTCAAGAGAAACTATACAGTAATTATTTACAGTGACTCATGCACAGGGTAAATATTTGGTCCCAACAACAGACCACATGCAGATGGACACTGTGTGTGAGCTTTCCGTTCTCACCCACAAAGCACTGGTCCTTCTTCATCTTGAGGATCCTGCTGATGTGTCTGATGCTACAGGGGGAGAATTTTTCATTGTTCTCACGCACTTCATTTGTGGCGTGAGGGAACATCAGGTACCTGCCCTTTCCTTCGTTGGAACCGAGATCCCCGCAGTTAAAGCCCTCATCATGCTGAAATACAAACCGTAATTAACATTCATGGTACAGTATATGCATTCCTTGATAAGTTATGTATCTTGACACTTAGTAAGTGGAAATAGGAAGCAGTTATTTGGACATTTCCTTTCAGAGAAGCCAGCTGCAAACAGAAAGAGCCCGGAGAAACAAATGATCTAACCCACACTGAAACAGCTTGTTTTCATCCTAACTTTATTGCTGGTCTCAGTACTTTGTTATAGGTCAGTGCAGACAATAAAATGCTTACAGTAATGCCCATGGATGGTGGTGTAACATCAGCTATATTGCACTCTTCTAAGTTATTTCTGTCATAGTTTCAAATTATAAATGAATCCTTTAGGCAGTCAAAAGATTTAAATGAAATCTGATGTCCCTGAGATTCTAGAAGAATGTCATGTCATACCAAGGACAGAACAGGCAGTTTCTACAAAAACATTTTCTGGGATTCTGTAAATTCACTGTTAAATTAAGAGACCAACACAGACAAATTTAACACAGAGACATGCAGAGAGAACATGTTTTGATGTGGGTATTTCTGCACTTGCCCTCCAAGTGCTAATTTTGTAGTGTATAGTTGTATAGTGTATATCTGTCAATATGGTCTGGCAGAGCACTATGCCACAGCTGTGCAGATGTTGATGCAGGTTTTCAAGAACAGTACATTTACTTTTATTTTTCTAGTCACTTATTGCTACCATAAAAAAATGACAAATGTTGGTCCTGCAAAGCTTTTCTACTGGACTAAAAGTGGACTGAGTGAATTCTTGGGTGTCAGTCAGGCAGATGGTGAAGAGGGTTTTGTGTGAAGAATGGCGACTGACCGGAGATCCCAGGCTGTGGCCGAGTTCGTGAGCGAGGGTCAGCCGGACGAGTGGAGGAGGCAAGAACCGTCCATAGTTTTGAATTGTGACCAGACCTGTGTTCAGGGTGGAGGGCCGACCGTTACGCAGGGTGGCATATTGTGAGCATATTCCTCCAAAGTTACCTAAAAAACACAGAGATGAGAAAATAAATATAAAACATATAAAACATTAAAAAGATTTATCAAAACATTGGTGCTCTATGCTTTGGTCCCAATACATTACAAATGTTTGTGAAGGAAAGAACCAGATGTTTTCAACCACACCTCTTTGAAGGCCATCTCCTGTTTTATGTCTTTAGGTTTTGCTTTATTTGTTTTGTTGTTTTTTAAAATACCTTTGTTAATTTTAATATTAAATGTTCACATGTTATTGCCTGGTCCTGTTTTCAGGTGCATCACTTGCCAACATGGTTTTGAACTACACCAGTGTTTTTCTCCCTTGTGTCTCTTTTGTTATTTGTCACTGTGTATGGGTGACCAATCTGGTTCTGATAATGTAAAAGGAAAGTCTATTCATTTTGATGGTGCACATTGTAGTCTACGTATTTTACTGTGCATTCACAGGAGATCCTGCACAACAAGAGGGTAAAAACAAAATGTCTTTTGACACTGAATGCATAAAATGTATGATAAAGGCACATAATAATAACTGTGCTGACAGTGCACATTCAGTGCACAAACATCAGGCCTAATGAAACTGGAAATACCTCAACTACCGCTGTCTGGTGCTCCGGGGTCAGGACAGGGCAGCAGACAGACCAGAGGACCTGCTGAGCTCCTTTTTCACATCAAAGCATACAGATCCATTTGGCCTCCAGTGGTCTCCAGTGCCTTTGGGTGTAAGTTAAGTGCCTGAGAACCATCCCCACAATTACAAACAGCTGTCCACATTCACACGGATAGATGGACTGAAACATCATCTCTCAGCTGGCCAGTCAAAGGACTAGTTTTACAGAAACGGCTGAGCAGCCTGGCTCTCTGGCCAGATTGCTCCTGGATTAGAGCGAGGCAGTTGAGCTTTTCACCAAACACTTGACTTACACTAATTTAACAAAACCAGTTCATACATTTGTGACCTTTCTCGCTGCCACTGCAGAACATACAGGCCATAAACTAGTAAATACTAAACTGATGCTGACCTCCTGCATCTCTAATTCAGAACAGAGGTCAACAAAGGTTAAGTGTTTTTGATGTTGATATGTATCTGATGATGATATTTTATTTTACAGATGCCTCATATAATTAGCAGGTATGAGACTTTAAGTGTAACTTGTCAAGACATCCAGTAAAATGTTCCTTCATTAGTTCCCTCCATTTGTGCCCATGTATGGTTCAGGTCAGAGGTCTTAGCGAGTCCCATGCAGTCACATAAACTTGCACTCCTTATAACCCCACATAGTGTAATTATTGCAGAATAATAAAACCAGAGAGCCGTTTCCTAAAAAGGATAGTTCGTGAACATGTACAACTTTTACTGCACGAAGACAGCACAACGAACGCAACGGCATTAATTAATGTGAATTTTTCCTGCATAGATATGTAAACAACGGTATGTGCATATACCGGTATGGAAAGAGATTTGTAATACTCGAAACACTACAGGCAGTCCAGAAACCCGTAGTTTAACCAGTAATGCAGACATAGTCACTTCTCCAGCCTTACACAATGTTACAGAAACAAGGCCACATCCTTTCAAGCAGCATCAAAGTTGATAAATCCAACCGGCGGTTGCTGGGTCTTTCCCCACACGACACGACCACATACAGTCCCAAAGTAGTGAAATGAATTAAAAATGTAGCGTGGTTCATGGATTGTTAATCTGCTCATTAACCAGCTACACTTCACACGCAGCAGATGTCCCTGTGTCTTTGTTCTCCATACACAAGATGGCAAAGATATGAGGAGCATCTCTGAATATAATGTCGTCCAGTACAGTACAGGTGTGAGGGGATGTTTTAAAATATATTTTTCTATGAAAATGATTAACCTGTGTCTCTCTTTGTCTTCCTCCCTCCCTCTATAGCTTCCCTAATCATCATCTTGGACTTCATTATCCTGTGTGCAAGTGATTTATCCTTTTTGGTGACTCGACCTTTACACTGAGTGTAAGTTAAATCTTGCTGGGGGTGCCCTACTCACGCCCTGAACTCTCCTCTCCTCTTTTCTGTTGTTCTTTGCATGACACTGATAAGTGGTCCTATGTTTCTATTAGAGTTTTTGTTAATTACAATTACAAATAAAAAAATCACAGTCAAAGTGGTAATGAGAGGGAGCAGAACCTTGCCAACTATATAATATATTTATTTTTTGTTTTGTTTTTTAAAATTTACTAGCTGTATTGTAACTGCAGTGACTCATTGCATATTTACTCATGTATAACAGACATTAAAATATTGTTTCTTCTCTTAGACACAGAACGCTGATCCCACTTTGCGCTTCACTGCGTAAGTATAGAAGCACTCACTCTAAATGTAATATCAGACTGCATAACTTGAGTATATATACTTTATTAGGAACACCTGTACAGTTGTATGCATTTTAAACATCAGCTTTATTGGGCAGGTGTGTTGGACACATGAGGAATTTGACTCTGGTACATATATACTGTATATATATATATAAAGTCAATATGGGGTGCTGTGTGTACATTAATGAGGAAAAAAAATGAACTTAAATGATTTTAGCATATGGCTGCAATATAACAAAGAGTGAAAAATTTAAGGGGGTCTGAATACTTTCCGTACCCACTGTACATACACACACACACACAGATGCATTTGATGGATCAATATGTACAAGATATTTACTGATAGTGCAGTGAGGGTTATTGACCAGAGGGAAGAGTACACATCCCTGGGGGGGCACCTTTGCTAATTGTCCAGATACTGGATATGGTTTTCCCAGTCTGCACATGCTGCTTCCTGTCTGTCAGAAAGTAATTAGTGATCCACCGACAGGTGGGGACAGTTTGGAGTGGAGGATGTCTGGGATGATGGTGTGTAACGCTGAGCTGAAGTCCACAAAGAGGGCCCTGTCCCCACTTCTGTAAGCCTCCTCTTTGGCATGATAAAGCTGCTTGAGTCTTACTGTGAACCAGGGCTTGTGGTTGTATGTGCAGAAGGTGTTGGTAGGCACACACGCATCCTCACAAAAGCTGGCATAAGATGTCAGTGAGTTTGTCCAGGTCTGTAGCTGCAGCCTTAAATACACTCCGATCTGTGCAGTCAACGCAGGCCTGTAGCTCTGACTTTGCCTGCTCAGCCCATCTATTCACTGTTTTGACTACAGGCTCTGTAGCTTTAAGTTTCTGCCTGTAGGTTGGAATAAGATGGACCACGCAACACGTCCACCTTAACATCTGAATTTATGAAGCTGAAAATGTATAACTTTTAGGTGTAATGTAATAAATGTATAAACTCAATCATATAGCTATTATTGAGTCCATAGTTAAAGGTGGTGTTGAATTGCACTACATTATATTCAGAGGTGTTCCTGTATTTTTGTCCTCAAGCTGCATACATGAGAAGGTCAGAATATTAGGAACACTTGTGAATATAATGTAGTCTAGCACAAGTGTGTCTACCATTTAGTGGAAAACGTACTTAAAAAGTGAAACCTGAGGTCATAAGGAGAAGATAGAGAAAGATTTTAGACCAATTCAACAGCCTCCACTCTAGGTGTGATATCGCCACTACAGTGCCTTGCCAAAGTATTCGGCCCCCTTGAACTTTGCGACCTTTTGCCACATTTCAGGCTTCAAACATAAAAATATAAAACTGTAATTTTTTGTGAAGAATCAACAACAAGTGGGACACAATCATGAAGTGGAACGAAATTTATTGGATATTTCAAACTTTTCTAACAAATAAAAAACTGAAAAATTGGGCGTGCAAAATTATTCAGCCCCCTTAAGTTAATACTTTGTAGCGCCACCTTTTGCTGCGATTACAGCTGTAAGTCACTTGGGGTATGTCTCTATCAGTTTTGCACATCGAGAGACGGAAATTTTTGCCCATTCCTCCTTGCAAAACAGCTCGAGCTCAGTGAGGTTGGATAGAGAGCGTTTGTGAACAGCAGTTTTCAGTTCTTTCCACAGATTCTCAATTGGATTCAGGTCTGGACTTTGACTTGGCCATTCTAACACCTGGATATGTTTAGTTTTGAACCATTCCATTGTAGATTTTGCTTTATGTTTTGGATCATTGTCTTGTTGGAAGACAAATCTCCGTCCCAGTCTCAGGTCTTTTGCAGACTCCATCAGGTTTCCTTCCAGAATGGTCCTGTATTTGGCTCCATCCATCTTCCCATCAATTTTAACCATCTTCCCTGTCCCTGCTGAAGAAAAGCAGGCCCAAACCAGGATGCTGCCACCACCATGTTTGACAGTGGGGATGGTGTGTTCAAGGTGATGAGCTGTGTTGCTTTTACGCCAAACATAACGTTTTGCATTGTTGCCAAAAAGTTCGATTTTGGTTTCATCTGACCAGAGCACCTTCTTCCACATGTTTGGTGTGTCTCCCAGGTGGCTTGTGGCAAACTTTAAACGACACTTTTTATGGATATCTTTAAGAAATGGCTTTCTTCTTGCCACTCTTCCATAAAGGCCAGATTTGTGCAGTATACGACTGATTGTTGTCCTATGGACAGAGTCTCCCACCTCAGCTGTAGATCTCTGCAGTTCATCCAGAGTGATCATGGGCCTCTTGGCTGCATCTCTGATCAGTCTTCTCCTTGTATGAGCTGAAAGTTTAGAGGGACGGCCAGGTCTTGGTAGATTTGCAGTGGTCTGATACTCCTTCCATTTCAATATTATCGCTTGCACAGTGCTCCTTGGGATGTTTAAAGCTTGGGAAATCTTTTTGTATCCAAATCCGGCTTTAAACTTCTCCACAACAGTATCTCGGACCTGCCTGGTGTGTTCCTTGTTCTTCATGATGCTCTCTGCGCTTTAAACAGACCTCTGAGACTATCACAGTGCAGGTGCATTTATACGGAGACTTGATTACACACAGGTGGATTCTATTTATCATCATTAGTCATTTAGGTCAACATTGGATCATTCAGAGATCCTCACTGAACTTCTGGAGAGAGTTTGCTGCACTGAAAGTAAAGGGGCTGAATAA